TAAAGAGTTTCCGATTTTTAGTTTTATGGTTATTGTTAAATAACCTATGAAAACCGGGATTTAAACCTTAAGTAGTGCCTTGTTTGTATTTTTTTATTATTATTATTAATCTTTAGTCTACACAATGGGATTCAAGTTAGATTTACATAGTGTTCCATTATTTTGTGACTTAGATTGAATGTATTGACATCTAGATTTCTAATTTGATTGGTTTGAAGGAAGAGGAAAGGTAAGGAGAGAGAAAATTTTACCTATTTAGTTAAGAAAAAATTAGATAAAAATGGGGGAGTTTTCCTTATTTTGTTTTTATTTTTTTTTTTTTTTACTTTTTTATGGAAAATCCCTGTCCTCCCTTCTCTTCCCTTTATTTTTCTCAAACCAAATAGGATATTAATATTATGAAATCTAATTTTTCATTTAAATTTTTGAAAAATGTTTATCTAATTTTATCTTAAAGATATAAGTTAAATATAATTAATTATAATATTTATAATTAATTTTGTATAAATTTTTATATTAAATTTATATTGTTTTTACAGATTTTAAATATAAATATTATATTATATATTTTTAATATTTTATATTTTATTTTAATTAAATTTAATATTAAAAAATTAATTATAAATAATATATTTAATGTGGTTTCACATAGGCTCGTAACATACAGCTTAAAAATTTCTTTTAAACATATATAGTTTCCTTTTTAGATTGGTCTTAAAAGGTAATAAATATTGGGTCCTGATCACGATAATCCTCCACTAAACGGGTCCATTGGACACTTGAAAAGAAATGGATCTTAACCCACAGTTAAGGTCGGCCCAAAAAGCCCACAGTTAAAGTCAGCGTAAAAACGAAGTTTGAAATTTTTTTTAAAATAAAAAACCTTGTTATTAATTGATTTCTTAGGATAAAAAATTAATTTCTTAAAAAAATATTACATAATCTAAATTTTATTAAATTATATAATTTAAACTATTAAAAGAGAGAAATTCTTTGATATTAGAACTATTCCGTCAAATAATTATTATTTTAAAGTCTGATGTAAAACAACAAAATAAGAACTCATTCTTAAAACGATTTCATACTTTTTAATATAGATTAAATTTTAATGTACAATTCAAGTATAAAAATTATTCAATTATTATTAATAAATAAATATAGAGTAGAGTTTTCTTAAGTGTCATTCAATAATTTTAATATCTAAACTTGAAAACTTTTAATTTCTTTTTAATATAAGAATGGTTTTTAGTTTTATTTTTTATAATTTAAATAGTCAAAATTAATAACTCAAAACTCAAATTAGTAATTTATTAAATATAAAATTTTAAAATATATAATTTAAAACTTTAAATTTAATTAATTTATAAATTTTTTAAATTTTATTCTAAGTTTTTAAGTTAAATTCTTATTTTGATCCCTCAACTATTGTATAGATCTCTGATTTAGTCCCTCAGCTCAAAAAATCTCTAATTTGATCTTTACTATTTATCATTTTTGTCCCAATTAATCCTTCCGTCAAAAATCCGCCTACATGTTCGGTTATTTAAATTGAAAACGATGACATATAAAAATATTTTAACACATAAGAGGTACAACATGGCAAAAATAATGACATGGCAAGAAAAAAAAAAACTTTAGAAAATTTCCTTTCCTTTTCTTCCTTTGTTTTTCCTTTTTCCCTTTCCTGTTTCTCTTCCTTCCTCTTCTTCTTTCTCTTCCTTTCCTTTCTGCTACTGTAAACCCTAACACCTGAAACCACCTTCAATTTTCCTCACCAAATCAATTCATCTTCTTCCCCTTGATTTTCCTCACCTCTTTCTCTTTTAAATTTGGTTGTTCATCGCCCATTGCTTGTGCACCTAACAGATCTAGGACCACATCAAATCAAATCTCAAAATCTACCCCAATTCGTTGGAATATGGTGAATATGAGGAAAACTCAAGCTAAGACTCAAACCTAAATCTTCTTTATCAACCATCATGTTTTCTCTCTCACCAAACAAAATCCAAGAAACAAAACAATGTTTCAAGATTTCAGATCTGAGAGGAAAAAAAAAAAAGAAAAGCTACTGGGTTCAAAGAACCCAATGGCTACTAAGTTCCATCAAACCCAACAGTTGTTGTGTTCGAAGTTCTTGGCTCTGCTTCCTTGCTCCACCTTGGGGATCTCAGATAGTTGAGAAAAGTATAAGGGTTTGCAGAAGGCAAAGGAAAGGAAGAGGAAAGAGAACCTAGATTTGGTGTTGAGGAAGGGAGAGAGAAAATGAAACCTACTGGGGGAAGAAGATGAATAACCGTTGGGTTCAATTGAACCCAGAATTGGTGTTGGAGAAGGGAGTGAGAATGAAACTTGTTGGGGGAAAAAGATGAATACCAAAAAGGTTGGAGATGAAAAGGAAGGGGGAACGAAAGGAGAAAGGAAAGAAATTGATGTGTGGTTGAAAAAGAGGGTAAAAAAGTAATTTCAAGTTTCTAATTAGTTTGAAATATTTAATTTTTAGCTAGAAATTACGTGTCAAAGCTTATTTGTCATTTTGTCAATCCTACATGTCAAAATATTTTTACATGTTATCTTTTTCTATCAAGTAACAGGACATGTAGCGGAAAATTTAACGAAAGGATCAAGTTGAAGCCAAAATGTAATTTGTTTGAAATATTTTAATTTTTAGCTAGAAATTACGTGTCAAAGCTTATTTGTCATACTGTTAGTCCTACGTGTCAAAATATTTCTACATGTCATCTTTTTCTATCAAGTAACAAAACGCGTAGCGGAAAATTTATCGGAAGGATCAAGTTGAAGCCAAAATGGTAAATATTAGGGACCAAATTAAAAATTTTTTGAGTTAAAAGACTAAATCAGGGGTCCATATAATAGTTGAGGGCTCAAAATAAAAATTTAA